CACAAAGGTTTTGGAAGGAGTTTAGCAGTTTTGTTATTTAATTCAGATTTCTTACCTAAATGTTTTCGAAAGTGATACAGTAACTTCTGTAAGTCGTACATCCAGCCAACAATCTAGTGTGACTCCATCAACAGGCACAGGACCTTGAACCGGCCAGAAAGAAACATGGTGTAATGTCCAGTAATGGTCAGTTTTCATGTACAGTTTGACCCCTTTAGTATCTGATCGGCATGGAGACAGGAGTCTGCATGTGGTGCTGTTAATCTGCCGGGTTCTGCTATTCCATCAGCCCGGGCTCTCTGCAGCTCAGAACACATGATAACAAAGTGTCAACAAACCGTTCTCTTCTCAAGGCCCTTCTGTGCCAAGCCTGCCTGGATATCTAGGCCGGACTGGACTGTTATAGGGGTGGCTGTTTTCAGCTTATGTGAGTTAATCATTTGTATAATAATAATAATAATAATAATAATAATAATAATAATAATAGTAAAAAATAATAATGTTTTGATTACTCTGTGCTTAAATCAATAAGGTTGATTGATCTGTGCTTGAGTTCATGGAAGAAATGAAATGAAGTATTACATTGATTTTTATATATGGTAATCAGTTATTACCTGAATTACCCGAAGACCGCTTATGATGAATTATATAAATGGAAACCATGTTCCCTCACCCTACGTGGGTCACCGGGGCCGCCCTCTAGAGCCAGGCCTGGAGGTGGGGCATGTTGGCGAGTGCCTGGTGGCCGGGCTTTCACCCATTGAGCCCGGCCGGGCACAGCCCGAAGAGTAAACGTGGGTCCCCCTTCCCATGGGCTCACCACTCATGGGAGGGGCCAAAGGGGTCGGCTGCAGTGTGTGACGGGTGGTAGTCGAGGGCGGGGACCTTGGCGGTCTGATCCTCAGCTACAGAAGCTGGCTCTTGGCACATGGAATGTCACCTCTCTGGTGGGGAAGGAGCCTGAGTTGGTGTGTGAGGTTGAGAGGTTCTGACTAGATATTGTCGGACTTACCTCAACGCATGGCTTTGGCTCTGGAACCAGTTTCCTTGAGAGGGGTCAGACTTTCTACCACTCTGGAATTGCTCCCACTGAGAAGCGCCGAGCAGGGTTGGGCATACTAGTTGCCTCCCATCTTAGTGCCTGTACGTTGGGATTTACCCCAGTGAATGAGAGGGTATCCTCCCTCCGCCTACGTGTAGGGGGACGGGTTCTGACTGTGGTCTGTGCTTATGCATCAAACTACAGTTCAGACTACCCACCCTTTTTCGAGACCTTGGAGGGGGTGCTGGAAAGTGCTCCTTCTGGTGACTCCCTCGTTCTGCTGAGGGACTTTAACGCTCACGTGGGCAATGACAGTGAGACCTGGAGAGGCGTGGTTGGGAGGAACAGCCCCCCTGATCTGAATTCGAGTGGTGTTTTGTTATTGGACTTCTGTGCCAGTCATGGATTGTGTATAATGAACACCATGTTCAGACATAAAGGTGTCCATATGTGCTCTTGGCACCAGGATACTTTAGGCTGCAGCTCGATGATCAACTTTGTTGTTGTTTCGTCTGACCTGCGGCCGCATGTGTTGGACACTCGGGTGAAGAGAGGGGTGGAGCTGTCAACTGACCACTGGTGGTGAGTTGGCTCAGATGGTGGGGGAGGATGCCGGTCAGACCAGGCAGGCCCAAACGTATCGCGAGGGTCTGCTGGGAAGGCCTGGCAGAGTCTCCTGTCAGAAGGAGCTTCAATTCTCACCTCCAACAGAACTTCCAAAATGTTCTGGGGGAGGCAGGGGACATTGAGTCTGAATGGACCCTGTTCCGTGCCTCCATTGTTGAGGTAGCCGACTGGAGCTGTGGTCGCAGGATCGTCTGTGCTTGTCGTGGTGGCAACCCCCGAACCCGCTGGTGGACACCTGCGGTTAGGGATGCTGTCAAGCTGAAGAAAGAGTCCAATCAGGTATTTTCGGCCTGTGGGACTCCAGAGGCAGCTGACGGGTATCGGCAGTCTAAGCGGAACGCGGCTCGGGTGATCGCCAAGGCAAAACCCCGGGCATGGGAGGAGTTTGGTGAGACCATGGAGCAAGACTTCCATACGGCTTCGAGGAGATTCTAGTGCACCATCCGGTGCCTCAAGGGGGGAATGCAGTGCGCTACCAACACTATCTATTGTGAGGACGGTGTGCTGCTGACCTCTACACAGGAGTTTGTGGATCGGTGGGCAGAATACTTCGAAGACCTCCTCAATCTCACCGACACGTCTTCAAGTGAGAAAACAGTCTTGGAACTTTGGGTTGGCCTCTCAAATCTCTGGTGCTGAGGTCACTGAGGTGGTTAAAAAGCTCCTCTGTGGCAAGGCTCCAGGGGTGGATGAGATCCGCCCGGAGTTCCTTAAGGCTCTGGATGTTGTGGGGCTGTGTTGGCTGACGCGGCTCTGCAATATCACGTGGACATTGACGGCAGTCCCACTGGACTGGCGGACCGGGGTTGTGGTCCTCTTATTTGAAAAGTGGGACCGCAGGGTGTGTTCCAACACTACAGGTTACCACACTCCTGAGCCTTTCTGCTAAGGTCTATTCAAGGGTTCTGGAGAGGAGGGCCCGTCGGATTGTTGAACCTCAGATTTAGGAGGAGCAATGTGGTTTTCGTCCGGGCCGTGGAACACTGGACAAGCTCTATACCCTTAGGGGGATCCTGGAGGGTGCATGGGAATTTGCCCAACCAGTCTACATATGTTTTGTGGAGAAGGTGTTTGACCGCATCCCTCAGGGGGCCCTGTGGGGGGTACTCTGAGAGAATGGGGTAACAGGCCCTCTGATACGGCTGTTAGGTTCCTGTAAGACCGGTGTCAGAGCTTGGTCCACATTGCCGGCAGTAAGTCTGGCTCGTTCCCAGTGAGAGTTGGACTCCGCCAAGGCTGCCCTTTGTCACCAATTTTGTTCATAACCTTTATGGACAGGATTTCTAGGTGCAGCCAAGGTGTGGAGGGTATCCGTTTTGGTGGCCTGAGGATCAGGTCTCTGCATTTTGCAGATGATGTGGTCCTGTTGGCTTCATCAGAACGTGATCTTCAGCTTTTGCTGGAGTGGTTCACAGTCACGTGTGAAGCAGCTGGGATGAGAATCAGCTCTTCTAAATCTGAGACCATGGTCTTGATTCGGGAAAGGGTAGAATACCTTCTCCGGGTCAGGGACGAGGTCCTGCCCCAAGTGGAGGAGTTTAAGTATCTCAGGGTCTTGTTCACAAGTGAGGGAAAACTGGAGCATGAGATCGATAGGTGGATTGGTGCTGCATCTGCAGTGATGCGGGCGTTGTACCTGTCTGTCGTGGTGAAGAGAGAGCTGAGACAGAAGGCGAAGCTCTCGATTTACCGGTCGATCTACATTCCTACCTTCACCTATGGTCATGAGCTTTGGGTAGTGACAGAAAGAACGAGATCGCGGATACAATCGGCCGAAATGAGTTTTCTCTAAAGAGTGGCTGGGCTCTCCCTTACAGATAGGGTAAGAGGCTTGGTCATTCGGGAGGGGCTCGGAGTAGACCTGCTTCTTCTCCACATCGAGAGGAGCTAGTTGAGGGGGCTCGGGCATCTGGTCAGGATGCCTCCTGGATGCCTCCCTGGTGAGGTTTTCCGGGCATGTCCAACCGGGACAAGACCTAAAGGTCGACCCAGGACACGGTGGAGGGACTATGTCTCTCACCTGGCCAGGGAACGCCTTGGGATTCCCCCGGAGGAGCTGGCCCAAGTGGCTGGGAGAGGGAAGTTTGGGCCTCTCGCCTTAGGCTACTGCCCCCGCGACCCGACTCTGGATGGATGGATGGATGGATGGATGGATGGATGGGTAATCAGTAATGTTTGATATGACAAGGTAACCGTCACCTGCACCAGCCACAAGGTTCATTAGAGATTAATTAAATTTAAGTTAATCGTCATGACACATAGATATTTCTTTACCCCAGATCAGAGCATCCGGTATCTCAAGAAGGCGTGTTTTCTGAGGTTGTCTTGGTAATTTCCCTTAACATGGCACGCTCCGATTGGCCAAGTAAATCATAACATCAGAATATTAAAACAGAATCACTTACAGTGATTCAGCAATCGGAGTCGGAGTCGCATTCCAGCTTCCTATCATTCAGCATTTCTGTTCTAGAGAGTGCTTCAGAACGGTCGTCCGGTGTGACCCCTCTTTAACCTTGAGCATTTTTGGCCAGCTGCCAAAACCTTGCTAAAAGCTGCCTACTGCTGACAGCAGTTCCTGCAGAACAAAGCTTATATTGTTCCAACTCCTTAAGAGTCCTCCTGGACGCAACGGTTCTATCGTGACCCGGGACATCTCTGGACTGGAGTGTCGGTGCTACGGGTATTCTACAGCCCCCGGTGCCAGAGGTCATCCGAACTCTCTGACCTTCAGATCCACGAAGAGGGTCTTCCAAAGGGTGAAGTAGACACACAGATAGCGGCTGATACCTTTTTGATAAGAATCAACCTCGTAGCTTAACGCAAACCAAATTCTTTCCCTTTTACACCCAGAACTCAGCTCTTCTAGATACGAAAGTTCTGATAACATCATATTCACACATAGGCAACATGCATCATGTTCCATCCATCTAGATCCATCCATCACAGTACATATTAGTTAACTTGTCATGTTTTAATTATTTGGAAAATAAATTCTTACTTTTATAAACCTGGCTCTTTCCTTGAATCAAGACAAAGTGTTTACAATCCCGGAATAAACAAAGAATCCTAGAATCTTCCGATTAAACATCCAAAGACCAAGCAGGCATTTTATATATATAATCATGGTAAATGATCAATATTTTAATATTACTCCCCAAAATAAATATAAAAAATCCTCGCTCCATATTCAGGCATCCTTATGCTTCTTCAGAACAATTTTCTAAATTTCTAACATAAACACGCAAAAAGCAACTCCGGATGCCTTCTACGCTGCAGCGAGTGTAACCGGACGCACTGAAAGAGTTGATAATGCACACACACCGTGCTGCTCTCCATTTATAAAATGTGAATGTTTATTAAATGTTGACAAGAACATTAAAACACAGTATCAAGAGTCGGCAAAACAATCTATAGTACTTCACCAAAATAATAAAATGAAATAGAAAGAGGAAATGTTAGTTCTGCGCTGGGTGAGGGGAGAAGAGGGGGAAGGAGAGGAAAAGCATTAAGGAGAAAAAAGAGAGGGGACTTTAGGAGCTGGGGTTGGCAGCAAAAGCTAAGGCAATTAAGAAGGTACACTCTAAGAAATATAGAGGGTTTGGGGACCTATGGGATCGATAAGGAGGGCGCTGATGCTTTGTAAAGTGGGATAACTCGGATTGATTAGAGCCTCTGATTTCACTCTTTCATCTTCTCTTAGGAGGGGGATGGGGGGGGTATAAAGGCTTTCACACAACAAAAAACATCTCAGGGCGTGGCAAATAATTCTACACAATTAAATAACAACGGGGGACGTAGCATAACATATACAGTGTGCACAAGGAGGTGAACAAAGAATTCAGAGATCAGGCTCACAACGAGGGGATGGGCGGGCTTTGAGGGGACAGGCGCAGTTCAACACAGTAACCAGAAGGTGGTGTCCACTCTAATGGGTTCACGATCACGATAAATAATAGCTCGTTATAATAATGTAAATCTCTCTGGTATCAACACAAACAGCAGGGGGAGGCTAGTCGTACAGAAGCTTCGTTTCACGTTGAGCTCCACATCAAGACGGGTGGAGAACTTGGCCTCTTGCTATCTCATCCGGCTCGTGCACACAGGCCAGTTCAAACCAAAGCATGTGCATGTATAGATCCACGCTGTGTACACAAGCACACGTGCTCTGTCAAGCAGACACACACACACACAAATACACACACTTCCACTCGGTCCTTTTGTGCCATCTTGCAACCTAAAATCAAACCTCTGTGCCGTGATAACATCAGCATGTTTAATATTTCTTCTTTTTTTCTCTCAGTACGAGTGTCTGTGCTTTGATGGGAGGAGGTGGCAGCAACCTGCTTAGACATGACGTTTAGCTGCATGAGCTGTACACAGCCGAGGTGCCGCAGAAGCACACAGAGCAGGATGGGGGAGGAGGAGGAGGAGGTGGAAGGGGGAGGCGTCCTTCTGAGCACCGATGATGACAGAAACACTCACAGCTGTTCCAGGATCAGAGGTACTCAGTGCTACACACGGACCTCTCCAAAGCCAAGGATTCAGAAAGGCTGCACACGTCCTGCAAGGAAGCTAAAAGAAGTCTCACTGCTTCAAAAAAGAACCAGGTGTGCTGTTTGGGGGATAATCCCAGTCTTCCTCTTTACTTGTGTTGAGGGCAGCACAGGCCACTCCCATCTACAGATGGGTTCAGAGGAGGCCATGTGCTTATAAGCTCTCTTTGTGTTTTAGCATAGTAAGAAACGATTCACATGCTCCGAAGGTCACGGACACTGTACAGTCAAATCTACAGACATTTTAAAGCTTTTCTTACATCATCCCAAAGTAAAAGTGGATCGACCCGAGTTACAGTTGCTTTATTTTCCACCCGCGTGATGCCTTTTTGTCATATTCTTTTTTTCTTCCGTTCATCTTGTTTTTACTCATTCACTTCTGGCATTTTTGACTTTGCCATGACAGATAGAAGGATTTCTGCTCAGAAGAAAAACACACAAAAAGGAGGGAGAAAAATCACATTTTACAGCATCTTCCGCTACGCTCACGTGACAGCGGGAAACGTTTCCTGCTCAAAATATCTGATTTTTTTCCACCTGGAAAGAAGAGAAACAGACTTTTGGAGATGTGGGATGTAACGTTTCTTCAGCAGGTCTCATTCTTCCACTTTGCTTTTGTGTTTCCCAAATCCAAAACACCTTTTCAAACATTTTACCAACATTTAAATGGACGATAGATCAACCATGCATGTGATCTCTCTGCCTGTGCTTTAGGTTGTGCTCAGTCGACATGTGTCCGGGAAATAACGGCAGGGAAACTGATCTGGCTGTCTTTCTTTCAAAGACGCACGCACGCACGCACGCACACACACACACACACATACAAAGTGCTGGGTTTCCATCTGTGAGTGCTGCATCAGTTGGCCAGTACTCAGCTGGCAGGCAGATCAGACAAAGTGCCCAATATGCTTCCTAATGAACCAAGTCGGATGAATGAGATCCTCTGTCGTCTCGTTCTTTATCTTTTCTCTTCATATTTCATTCTTTTTGGACTTCCCTCTCTCCCCTTTGACACATATCCGCCCCTCCCTTTTTGCATTCACCCAATTTAACTCTCGTCAGCTATTTGCCTCGTTTTGTCCTTCTTCTCCCTCATTATCTGACGACTTCTTGCCACTACCCTGCTGGGTCTCGTTCACACAGGAAAAAGGGATGTAAATGTGACGTAGTGCACCGGTGTGCTCTTCCTTCTAGAGAAAGAAAGCTAAAAACGTGTAAATCCTGTCTAGATTTTGTGAAGGGCTTCGTGTGATTGAAACATCTCCCGTCGCAGCTTCTAGCGACGGGCAGCGAGGCTGAGCCCATCTTTGTGCTGAGTCAGCACGGGAGGTCCGGGTTATAGAGGGGGAAAATTAATGATGGGTGATTCGTTGGGAGATGGTTGGACCACCACATCGGACTGGACAGTGGGCTCCAGGCTCTGGAACACCGTTTTTGTGTATTAAATCATTAAAAATTGGGGGCGTCGCTGTTAGAAAATTCCTTAAAGAATGGTATTCCATGAAGGATCTTGACAGGAAAGTGATGGTGCAAAGAAAGAGGACACCATGAGGCAAACTGCAGAGTCAACTAAAACTCAAGAGTTATGCTGAAGTGAATGGAAAATATCAAGACTAGTAACTCCATCAAACTTTCCAGTATCGTGGTTTGCAATGCTTCAAAAATGTCTTTTTATTTTTTTAATAGCTTCTTCTTCTTTCTCAGTTTTTTAAAAAAATTATTTATTCTCAGGGTCGCGGGTCGGACGGATCTTCATCTCGGAGAACTTGAGGGAGTACTGCCAACCGGTCCAGGAGGACCACTCGATGCCGTCGGCATAAGAGGTGTGCTGACCGCGCAGGTACTGGCCGTTCAGGTTGGAGGTGTGGCAGTTTCGGTACCACCAGGCGCCGTGGTAGAAGGAGGCGCAGTTGTTCTCAGAGTGGTCGTTGTCCCTGTCCTTAGTGGTGAACTTCATCCCGTTGTGCTTCAGAAGAGAGTCACCTGCAAAAAGAGGAGCAGAGCCAGGTCGAAATGGTTAAAACAAACGTGTAAAAGGTGTTTTGTGACCTTTGTTTTGTCTTTACCTGAAAGAAACAAGGAAAGATGAAAGAGCCAATCAAAGCTACGCCACTGACATGAAAATACTTAGAAATTAAATGGTACAAGGTTTCAATCAATCCTTTTGGTAAAAAGCAGAAGACAAAATAATTAAAAATAAAACTCAGTCTTTGAGATTTCTTCTCATTATCTGAAAACGACGGGTCAGCCAGCCCGGCAGCCGATTCATCAAAGTTCCTTTTATGACCTTTAAGTCTTTTAACTGCACGCCCTTGATGGTTTCATCTTGTTGTTTGTCAGCTGGTGATGCTTTAATGAATTTTGTAAATGTTTTAGAGGAGAAAAAAAGACCCACTTAAGAGACAAAATCTCATTTTGATTTCTGCCTCAGAGGCACTTTCTGTCCTTTTTTTTATCTTACAGCTGCTAAAAGCTTTAAAAGCACAATCAATGGGAGGGCATTCTTTCCTCCAACCTACGATTGTGAATATGACACTGATGTAGGACCACTGCAGGGATGCGGCACAGCCAAGTGCCCTTAATCACGGCCTGGATGCTAAGTCTGATCCACACAATCAAATTGCTGAGCTGGAAACCATCTTCCCACTACGTAAAGATTTCTCCCTGGCAAATTCTCTACGGCGATAACTTGCTTTTAAAGCCGAAGCTCTGAGACGTCCGGGCCAAGTGAAAGCACTGTTCTCATAGATACCGCAGCAAGCTTGAAGTTTTTATTTATTTTTTTAGCAAATGGATGTTCAAAGAGCTCATAATGTGCAATAAACTCCCTCTATTCCTTTCTTCACTCTCTTCCTACTCCTTTTCTTCCCAGAGTTGGTTTCACACTGAGACTAGAAGTGAATATGAGGACAAAGCTGTGAGAAAAATGAAGGACCGCTCAGGTGATCGCTAACAGCTTGTGAGGGCATTAAACAGCCTTTAATTGCCCAGGATGTGGCCACCCAGCTCCTTACCCTCATGCTCTGCCCTGCTCTACTCTCCATTTGGCATTACTATGGTAACCACTCAGTCGGAAAACTAATTTGACAGCCGTGTCTCATGTTCATGTTGCAAGCTGTTTGACGCTAGCGGGAATGAGATAGTGGGTGAGGAGAAAGGAGGAGTGAAGGAACAGCCCGGTGGTGTCAACAACGAGGAGGTGTCCGGAGGGCGTACAGCGAGGAGGAAAACAACAGTGGCACTTAAAGGCTCATTTACAAGGCACCGGTGTCACCTTGGTGGCTGGGGGTGGGGGTGGGGGGGGGGGGGGGGGGGGGCTCCTCTGATGCCCATTAGGATCCAGCAGCTCCTGGTGCAAATGAGCACCTGTCAGCTGATCAGGGCGCAGTCACAAAAGGACAGCGGCAGAAGCTACAGCTAATAACAACACCTACAGTGAGGACTCCTGAAAGAGATCAGGGTCTCTTCCTTTAACCGGACTCAGGCTGGCAAAAGAGGTCACGATGTGGACAGTCCAGGATGTTTATATCTGAGCAACACCATTTTACTTCATTGCTTTATTTCATAACTATACTTCATAAACTGCAAATGGTCCAGAATTCAGCAGCCCGTATTATCACCAGAACCCCTTCCTTTCACCACATCACCCCGGTTCTCCAGCAGCTTCACTGGCTCCCAGTTAAATTCAGGTCCATCTTCAAAGTTCTCCTCCATACCTTCAAAGCAATCCACAACCTCTCTCCTCCATATATCTCAGACCTTATAAGAATTCACACCTCATCCCGTTCACTCAGATCTTCTTCTTCCATCCATCTTGCGGTTCATTCTGCCCGTCTCGCTACCATGGGGAGCAGAGCTTTCAGCTGCTCTGCTCCTCGACTCTGGAACTCACTTCCCCCAGACATTAGGAACATCGACAGTTTTACCCTTTTCAAAACAAAACTCAAAACACATATGTTTAAATCTGCCTACAACCTCTGATTTTATTGAACTGTTTCTCTCTTTGTTTTTTCTTCTTTGGGTTTTATTAATGTTTTATTGTATTTTATCACGTGTTTTCTGTCAAGTGACCTTGGGTGTCCTGAAAGGCGCTTTTAAATAAAATGTATTATTATTATTATTATTATTATTATTATTATTTAAAACCTCTCTAGTTCATCACCATCACCGGCCTCCAGTTAGACTAGTGTGTGAAAACAGTCATTTTACTCTTTTTTTAATCAATTCAGTATGATTTGGCATTAAGTGTTGGCAGTAAGTGCTTCATTTTAAGAGGAAACATGTTTTCTATAGTTTTAACTTTGGTCCTCCAGCTAGTGGACCTCATTTAACTAGGTTTTTATTTCCAGGAGAGGAGGACCGGTCACTCTTAGCTTTTGACCCGGATACACTCAAAACAACTGCGAGTCAGTATTCAAGTTAACTTGATTTATGTAGAAAAAACTGAAAAAATGATACACACACCGTGACCCCCTGAAGCCCCGCCCCCAGGGTCATAAGTCAAAAGTGCTCTGTATCTCCTGATATTTTATTTATCCCCTAAGATCAGCCCCACCCACTTAGTGAGTCGGCTTTCTCTGCTGGATCAGCTTTGCATGAATTTTATTGGATGTTGCATCTAACCTGATTGTGGAAAAAGAAACAATTTTGACTTTAAAAACAGACAGATTTTCTGATAGAGGTCTGACAGACAGAAAGCTGAAGGCCAAGTGGGGAGACCCAGGTCAGCATTCAAAAATGACACTAATTATCTTACAATAAGTAAATGACAATAAAGCTTTGAAGCTTTGAATTTTGACAACATTATTCTATAAATAACAAAAGATTTAACTTACTACATTTTACATTTGTTTGGTCTAATGTTTGCTGAGAGTCCTTACCATCACACCAGGGGCGGGGTTAGAGAGAGGCTACTTAGGCCTAGTCCACACGTAGCCGGGTTTTTTTTTTAAACGAATATCCGCCCCTCCAAAAACTTGCATCCACACCACCTCGTTTAAAAAAAAAAAACTCTGTCCACACGTACCCGGATAAATACGTTGTTAAGGACATGCCAGACCTGTAGGCGGCAGCACTTCCCCCGTTCTTAACCTCGTCCTTCGTCTGTGGTCTTCCGCAAGGAGCAGTAATTCCGCTTGCAAAAACAAACAAGCAGAAAGCGCTTGGACAATTGATAAAGCGAGCGCAGCTCTGAGGGCATCCATGCTGTCGGCTTGTGTAAACACAGGTCGCACACGTGATGTCAGCATTTTTTAGTCGCGGAAAGCGACGTTGCGGACCTTAAAACTCCGGTTTTGTCCGTCCACACGCAGACACCCAAAACGGAGAAAATGCAGATCTTCACTTTGGCCGGAGTTTTTAAAAAGATCCGTTTTCGTGTGAAAAAACTCCGTTTTCATGTGGATGACAGGCCAAAACGTAGAAAAATATCTACGTTTTGGCAGATCCCCGGCTACGTGTGGACAGGGCCTTAGGCTCAAGCCCCAGAAATTTTCTGAACAGCCCTCAAATCTGAATTTTACTTCTGAGAAGGCACAAAGGTTTGTAAGTAAGTGCAGTACCAATGTCCACCAGAGGGGCAGAAGCTGTGTTAAGTGGTGTGCATGCAGCCTGCTGGAGTCTCACCTAAAGAAACACTTCTGCCGCCTGCACACTGTGCCTGTGATGCAGTTAGGAACTTTTTTTACACACACACACACACACACACACACACACACACACACACACACACACACACACACACACACACACACACACACACACACACACACACACACACACACACACACACACACACACACACACACACACACACACACACACTCTGCATGTATTGTACTACACACACACTCTGCATGTATTGTACTGTGCAACAGTTTTAGGAAGGTGTGAAGAAATGCTGTAATAAATGCTTTCAGAAATAAAAATTTAGATTTTTAACATTTGTTTTATCAAATTACAAAATCCTGTGTGGAAACAAATTAAAACCTAAATCAAATGAATATTTGGTGTTACTACCTCTTACCTTCAAACCAGCATCGATTAGGTACACTTGCAAAGTCAGGAACTTTTTAGGATTATAATCAGGTGTGTGTGATCAACCAATTATACCCAAAAGGTGCTAATGATCATCAATGTCACACGTAGGCTGAAACACAGGCCTAGTCCACACATAGCCGGGTTTTTTGAAAGCGAATATCCGCCCCTCCAAAAACTTGCATCCACACCACCACGTTTAAAAAAAAACTGTCCACACGTACCCGGATAAATACGGTGTTAAGGACATGCCAGACCTGTAGGCGGCAGTACTTCCCCCGTTCTTAACCTCGTCCTTCGTCTGTGGTCTTCTGCAAGGAGCAGTAATTCCACTTGCAAAAACAAACAAGCAGAAAGCGCTTGGACAATTGATGGATCGGGTAGTGACAGAGCGCAGCTCTGAGGGCTTCCATGATGCCGGCTAGTGTAAACACAGGTCGCACACGTGATGTCAGCATTATTTTGTGGAGGAAAGTGACGTTGCGGATCTTAAAACTCCGGTTTTGTCTGTTCACACGCAGACACCCAAAACGGAGAAAACGCAGATCTTCACTTTGGCCGTAGTTTTTAAAAAGATCCGTTTTCGTGTGAAAAAAACTCAGTTTTTGTGTGGATGACAGGCCAAAATGAAGAAAAATATCTACGTTTTGGCAGATCCCCGGCTACGTGTGGACAGGGCCACAGTCAATATGGAACAACCTGCCAGCCCAGTGCCTTCAAAAACTGTTTGCAAAATTAATGAAGGCAGAGGCAGAGGGTGGTCACAACAAATATTGAGTTCATTTAGATGTTTCTTTTGTTCTTTCGCAGTTTTTTGTTGACTGATGAAAATAAACGATAAAAACTTCCATTTCTTCACACCTGATTAAAACCTTTATATGCGTGTGAGAGATTGTGTGTGTGTGTGTGTGTGTGTGTGTGTGTGTGTGTGTGTGTGTGTGTGTGTT